GACCTACGTGCCCTTAGCCGGTTGCAAGATTATTATTGTGATAATGTTGGGAAGACAATGGAGAGTGAGAACCGTAGTCAAAGAGAGGTTGAGTCACTGAGAGCCTGAGAGGGTGAGAGGCGAAAAGTGAAAGTCTGAGGGATGGAGAGAGAAGCGGAAAGGGTGAGAGGCAGAGAGTGAGAGAGACGAGAGGGTGAGAGGTGGAAATGAATTGGCTGAGAGGATGAACATTCTGGAAAGTGGAAACCCTAACATGTTTATATAGTGGCTCGGGTTTCAGGTTGAATCTGAATTTTAAATAAAAATCAAAATCTGATTGTATTATTCTTCCAAAAGGTTAAACCCAACCCTAAGTGTCCATCTGAATCGTATTATTAAATATGTGGCTAGTGGTTCAGCATGTTCGATGTGTTTTTCATAGAATTCGACCCGAATCGGGCCAATAACTGGCCGAACCCGCATTTTCGGGTCTTACCCGAAATGCGCCCACCTCTAGCTGGAAAATTATGCTGTGCATCCGTACGGATGCAAAAACGACGTCGTTTTATTAAAAACGCGTGTCTCCCCTTAAAAAAAAAAAATCAGGTTCGATTCCCAGCAACAACATTATGTTGTTCATTCATTCTGAAATTTTAGTTCATAGATTATGAAATTTTAGTTCATTGATTCTGGAATTATAGTTCACCGATTCTGGAATTGTAGTTCATCGATTCTGAAATTTTAGTTCATAGATTCTGGAATTTTAGTTCATTCATTCTGGAATTTTTAGTTCATAGATTCTGGACTTATAGTTCATCGATTTTGGAATTGGTGCATACGGATGCACAGCATAACTATCCCCTCTAGCTCCCTTGCAAATTATTCTTTGGACCCGGGTCTACCTTGCAAGATGGACCCGAGTCCAAATGTTCACAATTTACCTTTTAAAAATTCACGTGTATACTACGAACACAAAATGTTAACATATATGTAATTGATTACTTTGTTTTGTATTCACAAGTTTCTTTCAGATATTGCAGTCGCACAACATTAACAAATTATGATTTGATGACCTTGTTATGTGTTTTGACTTGGAAACGCAATTTATATTCTAGAAGTTCACAATTCCAATACTAAAAACAGGGACGGAGCCAGAAATTCGGTTGGGGGGGGGGGGGGGGGGGGGGGGCGAAGAAGTAGGGAAGGATTTAGAATTTTTTTTCAGTAAAGACGAAACATTAAAACAAAAGAGATAATTTTTTAAAAAATAAACACGTCTCATTATTAATATACAAGAATAAAAGAATGTTATATATATATATATATATATATATATATATATATATATATATATATATATATATATATATATATATATATATATATATATATATATGTGTGTGTGTGTGTGTGTGTGTGTGTGTGTGTGTGTGTGTGTGTGTGTGTGTGTGTGTGTGTGTGTGTGTGTGTGTGTGTGTTAAATATTAAACAACTATTAAAAACGTGACTGTGTTTAAACCATAGGGAATGAGTCAAAAAAAACTGTTGAAGCCAACTATAAAAAATATATATCAATGCCAAGATTCGAATCACTATCTTTTATCATAACTCAACATGTGCTCAACCAACTCATCTAAATAAACACTTGTTAATTGATAGTGTTAATTCTCACGTAAGCGGTAAATAAAATAACACAAGACCAATTAAAGCAAGTAAATCTTTTATTGATCGGGTGAAAGACCTAAATACAATCTACACTGACTATTCCGAGGCCGACTGACTGCGGTCGGGATGCTCTGACAATAGCCTATCGATCGTCCAAAAGTCCCCACATTGTTGCAACCGCGGGTATATATAGCCGTTGGGCCGGAGACACAAGTCCGGCCGTTCGGCATGTCACCCACGTAGCAACCACGTGTCCTGCTCCCGGGAGCCCTGCCTGTCAGCGCGTAGTGCTGCCACGTGTCTCTTCTCGGCTCTCTCGCCTAAGGGCTATCGATCGGGACTCGAGGACATCGGTCGGGTGTTGCCGACCGGGTTCTTCTAAGAAAGTCCGACCTGTAACCTGCATAAATAAGAATAAAAGACGAAGGCATGTCGGTCGGGTATTCTCTACCATTAATATTTAATAGTTTTATTTTACTAATACTAACACATATACTATATATACATATATACATACAAAAATTATATATGGGGTGAGGGTGGGGTGAGCGGGGGCAGATGACCCTCCTGCCCCCCTTTGGCTCTGTCCCTGACTAAAAATATACAATTTATACGTCGTCTAGAAGTAGGGTCCACCTTGCAAGGTTAACCCTAGTCTATGGTATAACAACTCTAGCTCAATATATTACCAAAATTGGCACATATATCCACACAATCCTAAGGATAACACAAATTCCAGAGTGGATGGTGTCCAAGAGGCGAAACATAGCTCAATATATTACCAAAATTGCCATTCATAACCACACAATCCAAACTAAGGATAACACAATAAATTTCAGACTTGATGGTGTCCACAGATTTACAGAATTCCGTCGAATTCGTGACTGCGGGAGGCCTATGAAATGCTGTTGGTCAGAAATTGTAGTAACAATTGAAGAAGCAAATTAAATTAGAGGAACAGAAGCTATTAACGATGACAAAGCCACATATCATAGCCATACCATATCCAGCACAAGGCCATGTTATCCCTTTAATGGAGCTTTGCCTGTGCTTAGTCAACCATGGCTGCAAAGTCACCTTCGTCAACTCTGACTTCAACCACAACCGAATCATCCAGTCCATGTCGGAGGCAGATAATGATATAAACCTGGTATCAGTCCCTGATGGGTTGGCAGTGGAGGAGGATAGGAATGACCTGAAGAAGCTAACAGAAGCATTCTTTGAGGTTGTTCCAGGGAAGCTGGAGGCTCTCATTCATAACATAAATGAGTCGGATGAGAACAGAGTTTCGTGTCTTATTGCCGATGAAAATTTGGGTTGGGCGCTTGACTTGGCCAAGAAATTGGGACTCCAGCGAGTTGCTTTCTGGCCTGCTGCAGCTGCTTCTCTAACCATGATGTTTAATGCTCCAAAGCTACTCGATGAGGGGATTGTTGGCAACAATGGTAAAACAGCTTACCATAACCTAGCTTGTTCCACAACACAAATATTAACTTTCTTTTCTTTGACAAATTAAATATACATTTTATTTGTTGTGACCAGGAGAAATACTGAGAAAGCAGAGCATCAAATTGTTGCCACTCATGCCGGCTATGAACTCCACAGATTTACTGTGGAATTGTTTCAGCGATCCAGGACTACAGAAGCTTGTTTTCGATCTGGCGTTCAAAAACAATGAATCATTGAAAGCAGCAGAGTGGGTAATCTGCAACTCATCTCAGGTGATGGAATATGAAGTTTTTGCATCGTACCCGAAGCTTATACCTATAGGACCATTACTAGCAAGCAACCGTCTTGGGGAAACATCAGGCCACTTTTGGCGAGAGGACACAGATTGCCTGAAATGGCTTGACCAGCAGCCACTCAACTCTGTCATCTACGTTGCATTCGGAAGCCACACCATTTTCGACATGGCAGAGTTTCAAGAACTTGCCCTTGGGCTTGAACTCACCAACCGACCATTTTTATGGGTTGTTAGGCAAGGGTTTATTGAGGGGGCAGGAAATCCTTACCCTGAAGGGTTCATAGACAGGACCCGCAATCGTGGGCGGCTAGTTGAATGGGCACCTCAGCAGAAAGTGTTGGCGCATCCCTCTCTCGGCTGTTTCCTCAGCCATTGCGGCTGGAATTCCACCATTGAAGGAGTCAGCAATGGCTTGCCTTTCTTGTGCTGGCCATACTTTGCTGATCAGTCCTTCAACAAAAGTTACATCTGTGATGTTTGGAAGATTGGTTTGGGGTTCGATAGAAACGAGAATGGAGTCATTGGACGACAGGAAATCAAGAACAAGGTGGAACAATTGTTTGGGGATGAAAATTTCAAAGCTAGAGCCGTGGATCTTCAAGCAGAGGTGGTGTCTAGTGTTAAAAGAGGAGGGTCTTCTTATCAGAATTTCAATAGTTTCGTTAACTGGATTAAGACAAAAAATTAAACAAATCTCTGTTAGTCAAAACTATTTGATTTCCAAAGTAGTAAAGCATCATTATATTTTGTATTTATGTTCTTTAACTCAACGGTATAAATGTTTCATAAATTTTACTTGTTTATTGCATCAATATGTTTGGTTTTTGTATAATATACTTGATTATTAGCAAAAAAGATTACACTATAACTATCACAACTTAACTAAATTTCACCTTGCTCAACACCCAATTTCTTAATCAATCCTGAAAAGTCATAAAATTTCTTTAGCTGCCTCAATCACAACTGTATACTTTACTTCAGTTGTAGACAAAACTACAACAGACTGAACTGATAATTTTCAACAAACATGACCAACCCCAAAAGAGTAAAGACATACCCATTGTAGAACGTCATCTATTATCTATATCACGAGCGTAATTAGAATCCACATATCCCATGAACATAGGCTCACTCTATTGACCCCCAAATACAATACCATGTCTAATAGTGCCCCTTAAATACTGAAGAATCTACTTAAATGTCTTCTAATAATGCTTCCCATGTTTAGACATGCACTTACTAACATGGCTAATGGCATGAGCCAAATCAGGCCAAGTACAAACCATCAGTGATGGTCCATCACATACATTAACCAACCAACTGCACTAGCATAAGGAACCTTTGTCATATCTTCAATCTCAATAACTCTTTAAGGACATTAACGAGATGAGAGCTTTAAATGATTAGCCAAATGAGTGCTAACCAATTTAGATTAACTTATCACAATCCTGTCAAAGATCTTAATATAACTCTGTTGAGTTAGTCACAACTTCCGACTCAACAAATCAGTCAATGTAGTAATATTATTCATACTCTTATGAACAATCGACATATCATCTAGATACTGTAATAAAAATAAATAAATAAATAAAAGAACTATCACCAAAGCTCTTAACATAGACACAACAATCATACTCACAACGTGTGTAGCCAATTTGAATCATGTAAGAATCAAACAACTTGTACTACTATTGTGGAGCCTGTTTCAGCTCATACAATGACCTCTTAAACCTACAAACTAGATGCTCACCCTTCAAGTTACTTCATAAAAATCTACTCATCTATATCATCATACAAAAAAGTAGTCTTCACATTCATTTGCTCCAAAAGCAAATCCCAAATAACTATCAAAACAAGTACAAAGTAGGTCATCCATCTTGTGACAAAAAGCAAGCACTCAGATCTTGACCCACTGAAACATATCATGCGATCTACCCCCTCTCACAATCTTCAGGGCAGGGGCCCTCAGGTTTAAACATATAATAAGTTTTTTATTTTTCATTATTTATATTTATAAAAAATATTTTATTTTGTAATAGATTTATTAAGATTTGACTTACAAATTTAATAAAAATTACTAAAAATAAATTTACATATAAATTCTCTATATATTTAGTTTCACATCACCTATAAAATTAAAAATAATCTTAAATGGTTCGAGGGGCTAGCCTATTCAAGCTACTGGGTTTATTAGGCTAATTTGTTATTGAGCTAAAGTATTTTAGCTATAACTTAAAAGAAAAAAAATCAGTTTTATCGTGTCAACCTATTAATTCGAGTAAAAATTGACATTTTTAGCCTCCATTGTCCCATTGTACCTCTGATCCTTGATTTTATGTTAGCTGGACATGTATTGTGATTATGTGGTATTCTTAACATAAAACCAAGGGTCAAAGGTACAATGGAGCAGTGGAGGCTAGGGATGTCAATCTTAGTTCGGAAACGATGGGCTAGTCTGATAAGATTGAAGTTTTTTAGAGTTAGGGTCAAATTAAAATATTTTAGTTCAATAAAAAATTAGCTTGATAAGCTCAATGACCCAAACGGGCTAGCCTAATAGTCTGAGTCATTTAAGGCTATTTTTTATTTCACAAGTGATATGATATAGGACAAGTAATATGATGTAGGACTAAATATACACATAGAATTTATATGTAAGTTTATCTTTAGTAATTTTTATTAAATTTATAACTCAAATTTTAATAAATCTATTACAAAATAAAATATTTTTATGAAAATAAATAATGAAAAAATAAAAACTTAATATTTTATCATATTATAGTGTAAATACATTAATTATTTTTAGTTGAATTTTGAAAATTGGGGGTTTAGATTGATTAAAATATTAAATGATGGATAACTTTATATTTACAAATGTAAATAGTAAATACATTAGTTTATTAAAATTAAAATTTTATAATGTTAATTTGAAAATATCAAAAGTTTTAACGAAGTCCACCCGATAAGTTTGACAACTCAAAATTTAAGGGTTAGATAAAAAATTTTAAACCCGACAAAAAAAAAAAAAAACTTAATTAGTCTGATGGTCCAATAAAAATAACCCGAAATCGAATAAACTAACCTAGTTGACATCACAGTAGGAGCCTCAACCCTCCTCGGCTCCTTCCCCAAATTTTTTAAAATTGCCCCTCCCTTTATTATTTTTTTAAGTATTAATATTATGTATACTAGTATTTGCCCCGTGCGATGCACAGACAGAAATTTATAGGTATTGTTGTAATATTATGATACTAAGCAGAATTAGTTTTATTACAAATGTAAGGCTCTATTTGGCAGAGCTTATTTAGGAGCTTATAGATTATTTTAAGCTACTAATAAGCTATAAGCTCTGTTTGGTAATGTTTCCAAAATAAGCTCGTAGCTTAAAATAAGAGCTTATTTTGGAACGCTACCTTAGGTAGCGTTTCAAAATAAGCTAGTAGCTTCTTAACTTTTTTTTTTTCTCATCTTTATCCTTATTATTTTAAAGAAATGACACTATTTACCCTTCACAATTAAAATCATTTTCTCTTCTCCTTTATTCACAACTTTCACCGCAATTATTATTATTATTATTATTATTATTATTATTATTATTATTATTAGAAGATTCACAACAATATTGCTACTTCATTATGGAATGCTAGATCATGATTATGCTAATAATTTTATTTCAAAATGTTAATTTTTTTGAAGACAAAATGTTAAATTTAATATGTAAACAAACTAATTTAAATTTTATGAAGATGTCCTTTTTTATCTTTTTACATTTGTCAGCTTATCAAAAAGCTAATTTTACCAACACTTTCAAGCATAACAGCTAGCTTAACCGCTTTTCAGTTTTCAGCTCCTAGTTTATAGTTTTTCAGCTTTCAATTCCTTCTAAACTTTTAGCTACCTTTTCAGCTAGGTTTGCCAAACATAGTCTAAGTATAACTATACAATGTAATATTTAATATTTTTAAAAGTTTAATTATGTTATTATTATGTTAATTTTAAAGTTTATTGTTACTTGTATTAGTATTTGAATTTGAAATAATTAATTTAATTACATAGCTAACGTATTTAAATAAAATTTGTAAATAAAATAACATGCAATATTTGTCAAAAATCTCCACCAAAAATTTATTCATTTGAAAAAGATTATTTATTTAAGAACTATGTTTATTTTATATCTAATTTCTCCTTTTCATATATGTGGAGTCAAATTAATTATAATTGAGGTTTAAATGAATATATATATACATAATACACAAATTATATTAAATATAAAACTTACCAATTCATGGGAAGACAATAAATGCATTCATATTGCTAACCTCATTTGGTAGGAAAATTTTTTCCCAACTTCTTTTTGCTTTAATTCTTCCAAAAGGTTGAACCCCAACCTTAAGGAGATAGAAATTTTAAAAATATTGCCTGTTATTTTAAAAAAAAATTTGTTAGTTATTTTGCTTTAATTTTATTTTATATCTCCTTTATTTTGCTTTAGGCAATATTTGTCATTAGGCAATATTTGTCATTAGGGTTATAGAAATTTCCCAACCCTAAGGAGATAGAAATTTTTTCCCAACTTTTTTTGCTTTAATTCTTTTTTGCTTTAATATATATAGAGATAGAACTTTTTGTTTTTTTTTTTTAAATACATTCCTAATTCTTTTTTTTTTTTAATTTTTAATTATAGACTCTAATTCTAATAATATTTTATTTGTAAAAGTTCATTTGTAAGATTGATTTATAATTGGTTAATTATTTAACTGAGAATTGTGCATTTAATAAATTTGTAATATGTATTAGTTTGTGATTGATATCAAACTATAAGATTTATTATGTAAGTTAATTTATGATTTATAATGTGTCATATGATAATACGTTTTTAAATTGATTAATTGATATGAAATACGTTAAATGATTGTATAATGTTGCATATTCAAAAAAATATTTATGATCGTATTTCGAGTAAAGCAATGTTACGCCGATTTCAAGATATGAGAAAAAGTAGATGGGTACTGGCAGATCCAAGAATTTTCTCCAGTGGGGGTGAAACATTAAAATAAAGGAGATAGTTTGAAAAAAAAATGAAATACTTAAAGAAGTATAGTTATAAATATTGTTAGATTTGAACGAAAAATAAAACACATCAAAACTTTATAAAAATATTCATAACAAAATATGAAACATAATTAACTTGATAAAATAATTCGAATAAAAAACACATTATAAATCACACATCTCATTATTAATTAAAAAAAAATTATATAATAGACTCATTATTAATATTTTATACTATTAAATATTAATAATAGTGAAAAAAAAAAACAATGTTGAAAGTTGAAACCACACTAATATTTTGCACTTAATAAGTAGTGAAAAAGAGCTTGTGTGTTAAAGGATTCGAACTCATGCCCTTTCTCAAAATAAAAAGGTGCCTTTTGCCAACTAATCTAGCATATCTCTTGTTAGTCATTATCTATTTTTCTGTACTTATAATAAAACTTGTACTATATATACATATATACATACATACAAAGATTATATATGGGTGAGGGTGGGGCGAGTGGGGGCAGCTGCCCCCACTGCCCCCATACTGGGTCTGCCAATGGGTACTATATCATAATTTCACAGAAATATTATATTTTGACTTATAATGTATTTTGTATTTATATTGTTTTATCTAATTAATGTTTTTTCATATTTTGTCAAAAACAATATTTACCATGTTTTGTATTGCTTTAATTTTCCCTTCACTCAATTAAAATCTCTGCATACAATTTGGTATAGTTTATTCTGTCAAGTGTCAACAACCAATCATAGATGTCTAATTGAATATGAGGAGGAGCGAACAACTAAAATTTGTGAAACATTTATAGGGTTTATTTAAAGAACAGAAAAATACCAAAATATAGTGATGCTTGACAACTTATTATCATCAGTAAATTAAGTAGTTTTGACTAACAGAGATTTGTTTAATTTTTTGCCTTAATCCAGTTAACGAAACTACTGAAATTCTGATACGAAGACCCTCCACTTTTAACACTGGACACCACCTCTACTTGAAGATCCACGGCTCTAGCTTTGAAGTTTTCGTCCCCGAACAATTGTTCCACTTTGGTCTTGATTTCCTGTCGTCCGATGACTCCATTCTCGTTTCTATCGAACCCCAAACCAACCTTCCAAACATCACAGATGTAACTTTTGTTGAATAATTGATCAGCAAAGTATGGCCAACACAAGAAAGGCAAGCCATTGCTGACACCTTCAATGGTGGAATTCCAACCACAATGGCTCAAGAAACATCCGAGAGAGGGATGCGCCAACACTTTCTGCTGAGGTGCCCATTCAACTAGCCACCCACGATTGCGGGTTCTGTCTATGAACCCTTCAGGGTAAGGATTTCCTGTCTCCTCAATAAACCCTTGCCTAACAACCCATAAAAATGGTCTGTTTGTGAGTTCAAGCCCAAGGGCAAGTTCTTGAAACTCTGCCATGTTGAAAATGGTATGGCTTCCGAATGCAACGTAGATGACAGAGTTCAGTGGCTGCTGGTCGAGCCATTTCAGGCAATCTGTGTCCTCTCGCCAAAAGTGGCCTGATGTTTCCCCAAGACGGTTGCTTGCTAGTAATGGCCCTATAGGTATAAGCTTCGGGTACGATGCAAAAACTTCATATTCCATCACCTGAGATGAGTTGCAGATTACCCACTCTGCTGCTTTCAATGATTCATTGTTTTTGAACGCCAGATCGAAAACAAGCTTCTGTAGTCCTGGATCGCTGAAACAATTCCACAGTAAATCTGTGGAGTTCATAGCCGGCATGAGTGGCAACAATTTGATGCTCTGCTTTCTCAGTATTTCTCCTGGTCACAACAAATAAAATGTATATTTAATTTTTGTTAGAACGAAATGATTAGTTTACTAAGAAAAGAAAGTTAATATTTGTGTGTTACCATTGTTGCCAACAATCCCATCATCAACTAGCTTTGGAACATTAAGCATCATGGCTAGTGAAGCAGCTGAAGCAGTCCAGAAAGCAACTCGCTGGAGTCCCAATCTCTTCCCCAAGTCTAAGGCCCAACCCAAATTTTCATCGGCAATAACACACGAAACTCTATTCTCATCCGACTCGTTTATCTTACGAATGAGAGCCTCCACCTTCTCCGGTACAACCTCAAAGATTATTGCTTGTGCTAGCTTCTTCGGGTCATTCCTATCCTCCTCCACTTCTAACCCGTCGGGGAATGTTACGAGGTTTATAACATTGTCTGCCTCCGACATGGACTCCATGATTCGCTTATGGTTGAACTCAGTGTTGACGAAGGTGACTTTGCAACCATGCTTCACTAAGCACAGGCAAAGCTCCATTGTGGGGATAACATGGCCCTGTGCTGGATATGGTATGGCTACGATATGTGGCTTTCTCATGCTTCTATTTGCGTCTTCAATTCTTGCTACAATTTCTGATCGAACACCATTTTATAGGTCTCTGGCAGTCGCAAATTCAACCTAATTAAGTCGCCGAACGCGGGGCTGATGTTTAAAAATAAAAAGAAAAAAATAAACGAGGTGGCGGGCTGTCAGGCCGGAACAGGACAACCCACATGGGCTTGCGTCTGAGAAGACGATTTAAAAAAAAAAAAAAAAAAAAATTCTCAAAGAGGTTTGGGACATGTGTTTCTGACCTGAAACGCATGTCCCAACGTCTTTTTCCTAAAAGCATCCCACTTTAAAAAAGTCTTGATTTTGTCAATACATGTTATTTTTGTCATTTTTTTGACAATTTAATCTCATGTGGTTTCTTTGAAGTTGAAGTAATACAGTGACATATCGTTGATTACGTTTTACACGTGATGGCTTGTGAGTATGTATGTGATGACTGCTACAATTCCTAACAGCCCGACTTTGTTTATACTCGCAATATTTTCTCGCGTTTAAAAGTGCATTTTTTTTGTTATATTATATTATATAGTAGTATTTCACTCATGCAATGCATAGATAGTATTATAGTAACATATATTCAATAATTATATTATTTATAAAATTTATATTGTATAAAATAAATAAATAAAAATTATCAAAATATTATATGATATTTGATATTATATTTCAACAATTTCTTATTATAATAAAGTATATATGGTATTTCATATCAAAATTTTCTTTATAATGAATTGGTTTTGAGATTAATAAAATAATTACGAAATGCATTTTTTTTTTAATGTTACTGACTCTATTACAACGTAGTATTGCAAGCACAAAGAGTCAATATCACCTCCACTGAGCCTCAAACCTACAATCTCCCATATGGGAATCCAACCTTGGCCATTAGATCACAAGGTCTTGGCACGAAATGCATTTCAAATCACTATAATAATAATAATAATAATAATAATAATAATAATAATAATAATAATTACAATTTATCAACCGTGGGCAAAGAATTTCTACTCTGTAGCTCAAGCCCTCCCCACCTATACCATGAGTGCCTTTCTTCTTCCGATGTCCTATTGCCGAGAATTAGAAACTTTGATGAACAAGTTCTGGTGGAGGAATGGAGGCACGAGGGGAACGGGTGTTCATTGGCACACTTGGTGGAACTTATGTCTACCAAAAATAGTTGGCGGTTTGGGATTCAAAGATCTACATGATTTCAATAAAACTCTTCTTGCCAAACAAAGATGGTGCATACTCACTGCACCCGATAACCTTATCGAAAAAAATCTATTAAAGCTTGGTACTTCACTCAATCCTCTTTTTTAGAAGCTAATGACGGCAACTGTTGGATCCGTTGGTAGAAAAAAACAAATAATAATCAAATAAAAGATTATTATTTTCTGGAAAACAAGGGAAGGAAAGATGGAGAATTTGGCTAGTGTTTGGTGTTAGGTTTTTACAAGAGTCAAGCGATCGCTCTTTCCTTAAAACCTTATTTGTCACCTCCCAAAGATGCTAGGAGCGTTGTGGCCTAGGCTTTCCAGGATAAAACTTGCTATGATTCAATGTTTGAGCATTCAAACAAAGAATTCGGCGAGCAAGACAAGGTTTTGAACACAGTAGGCTTAGAAAGAAAAGGAGTAGAAGCAGAATTTTGAGGCTTGAAACTCTAAGTTTCGTGTAGAGTGCTTGTGCTCTTGTGTGTAAAAATCTGCTTCTCACTGCCTCTCTTATATAGGGGTGGAGGAGTCAATAGTTTTTAATATGGCAATGAAAACTGACATTAAAGTTGACTTCCAACAGCTATAACAGCAGGCCACTACCTGGGAATTGAATTCAGAATTCAAAATTGGAGTTATTAGGATATTAATTCCATAACAGATGAATTCAATCCCCATAACAGTCAAAATTTTCGGGTTCCAGACCGTTGGCGTGTAGGGTTCGGTCTCAACTTTCGACCTTACCCAGTTTCGGCCTTTACACCTCTCGTGGTCACCGTTGCACGAAAGTTGTGCGTGACTATACCGGTTAACTGGCCTTTACACCTCTCGTGGTCACCGTTGCACGAAAGTTGTGCGTGACTATATCGGTTGGAAAATGATACCAAAGTTTGGCATAACTTAGCCCGCAAGGGCCAGCCAATTTCCGGACGACATTCGTGCCCGCGCACACGAGCTCGGGCTTCGGACTTGAATCAAGCCTTTTTCAAATGTCGTGCCCGCGCACACGAGCTCGGGCTTGAATCAAGCCTTTTTCAATCTCGTCTAGTTGGCATTAAAACAAAAGAAAAATAACTTGAGTAATGACATGCCATCTTCCACTTCACTTTGCCAATATCATATTTGCAGGGGTAAGGACAGCTTAAGAATCAAATATAACCAGGAGGGTGTGGTTGAGTGGAAGAGACTTATTCATTCTTAACCAAAGGTCAAGAGTTTAATATTTGACTTTGGGAATGGAGCAGCCTTAAATCTCCAGGTCAGCTGTCCCACCCAAGAACCAAATATATTGATGTAATAAACAAGCGGTTCAGTTAAAAAACAGAAATACAAAATATAATGATGCTTGACAACTTTGGAACTAACAGAGATTTGTTTAATTTTTTGCCTTAATCCAGTTAACGAAACTACTGAAATTTCGATACGAAGACCCTCCACTTTTAACACTGGGCACCACCTCTGCTTGAAGATCCACGGCTCTAGCTTTGAAGTTCTCATCCCCAAACAATTGTTCCACCTTGTTCCTAATTTCATGTCGTCCGATGACTCCACACTCATTTCTATGGAACGCTAAACTAATCTTCCAAACATCACAGATGTAACTTTTGTTGAATAACTGATCAGCAAAGTATGGCCAGCACAAGAAAGGCAAGCCATTGCTGACACCTTCAATGGTAGAATTCCAGCCGCAATGGCTGAGGAAACAGCCGAGAGAGGGATGCGCCAACACTTTCTGCTGAGGTGCCCATTCAACTAGCCGCCCACGATTGCAGGTTCTGTCTATGAACCCTTCAGGGTAAGCATTTCCTCCCTCCTCAATAAACCCTTGCCTAACAACCCATAAAAATGGCCTGTTGGTGAGTTCAAGCCCAAGGGCAAGTTCTTGAAACTCTGCCATGTTGAAAATGGTGTGGCTTCCAAATGCAACGTAGATGACTGAGTTGAGTGGCTGCTGGTTAAGCCATTTCAGGCAATCTGTGTCCTCTCGCCAAAAGTGGCCCGATGTTTCCCCAAGACGGTTGCTTGCTAGTAATGGTCCAATAGGTATCAGCTTCGGGTAGGATGCAAAAACCTCATATTCCATCACCTGAGATGAGTTGCAGATTACCCACTCTGCTGCTTTCACTGATTCATTGTTTTTGAGCGCCAGTTCGAAAACAAGCCTCTGTAGCCCTGGATCGCTGAAACAGTTCCAAAGTAAATCTGTGGAGTTCATAGCCGGCATGAGTGGCAACAATTTGATGCTCTGCTTTTTCAGGATTTCTCCTGGTAAAAACAAATAAAATGTAGAGTTAATTACCAAAATGGTCCCTTGACTATAGCGAAATTATCAATTTGGTCCTTGACTATTTTTTTTAACTAATTAAGTCCCTCAAGTTTAAAAATTTTAACCAATTTAGTCCTCCGTTAGTCAACCGTTAACTTGAGACCAAATTGGTAATTTTGTTATAGTCAAGGGACCATTTTGGTAATTAATTTTAGGGGTGGACAATTCGGTTTAGTTTTCTCGAATCGAATTGTACCGAACCGAACCGAACTAGTTTGGTTCGGTAATATACCGAATAACCGAACGGTATTGGATTCTTGTATACCTAACAGTTCGATAAAAAACCGATCCGAATTGTTCAGTAAAAAATTGAACTGAACCAAATACCAGTTGATTTTTTTAAAACAATATAATAATAATAATAATAATAATAATAAATAAATAAATAAATAAAAAGTAAATCTAAGTCCCTTGCTACTTGCTCTGCCGTTCAGCTCATATTTTCACATGTATCTCTCGAAAATATTTTATTTGATTTCTTTATGGTTTGTTATTACAAGTTCTATATTATGTGTTATGGTGTTTACATAGTCCATATCCAAAGTCTAATATATAACAAAATAGCAATCCAAAGTTCAAACGGTATTTGGTTCGGTTTTTACTGAACAATTCAGTTCGGTTCGAGTTTTTATCGAACCATTCAGTATACAAGAATCTATTACCGTTCGTTTGTTCGGTATATTACCGAATCTAACTAGTTTGGTACGGTACGATTCGAGAAAACTGAACCGAATTACCGACCCTTAAAGTTAATTACCAAAATGGTCCCTTGACTATAGCGAATTACCAATTTGGTCCCAAGTTAACGGTTGACTAATGGTCAAACAAACGGAGGACCAAATTGGTTAAGATTTTTAAAGTTAAGGGACTTAATTGGTCTAAAAAATAGTCAAGGACCAAATTAGTAATTTCGTTATAGTCAAAGGACCATTTCGGTAATTAACTCTAAAATGTATATTTAATTTGTGTTAGAAAGAAATGATTAGTTAACTAAGAAAAGAAAGTTAATATTTGTGTTGTGAAACAAGTTAATAAGCTAAGCTGTTTTACCATTGTTGCCAACAATCCCATCATCAACTAGCTTTGGAATATTAAACACCATGGGTAGTGAAGCAGCTGAAGCAGTCCAGAAAGCAACTGGCTGGAGTCCCAATTTCTTGGCCAAGTCAAGCGCCCAACCCAAATTTTCATCGGCAATAAGACACGAAACTCTGTTCTCATCCGACTCATTTATGTTATGAATGAGAGCCTCCAGCTTCCCTGGAACAACCTCAAAGAATGCGTCTGTTAGCTTCTTCAGGTCATTCCTATCCTCCTCCGCTGCCAACCCGTCAGGGACTGATACCAGGTTTATAGCATTGTCTGCCTCCGACATGGACTCCATGATTCGCTTGTGGTTGAACTCAGTGTTCACAATGGTGACCTTGCACCCATGCTTGACTAAG